ACCAGATCATAACACGAAGAAAGCAAATATACAAGAATACGTGTACATGATCAATGATTACCAAATGCATACTCCTAGACCGATATATCTAGCATGCTATAGTGTAGGCAAGTGCAATGTGTGCTATCACAGTTAAAACAAATAATTTCATCATGGAATAACAATTTATCAGTTCAAACCTGAAAAATAACCTCAATGAAACCTCAACATGATACAAATAGCTCACAGAGGGGTACAGATAGGAGAAACGTCTCAGTTAAAGCATAACAATCAATTCAAGGCTCTAACCACTACCCGAGCATGTAAATAGTACACCAGTGCACATGTATGGGCTCAACTCCATACATATGCGCCACTCATAGCACGTAGCTATCCCAAATAATTACGCCAACTAGTGCCTCAACCAATCTAGATAAGATACTTAACTCAAGCAAATCAAATTACTCCGCTAACAAGCCCTGTCCGCGCGTATTAACCTCCGGAAGGCTCGAATCTAGCCAAAATAACGTAATACTATCAATAAAAGCCATAGGAAATGATTCCAAAAGATAAAACTAAGGTCTTTAACTCAAATCATAAAGTCAACTCAAAACGTCAACTCCAAGCCCGCACCTCAGAACCCGGCAAAATTTACAAATTGCGAACACCCTTTCAATTACGAGTCCAACCATATAAAAATCATCCAATTCCAACTACATATCGACCCTCAAATTCTCAAATTCCACTCTCCAAATCATAGTCCAAAAATTTCCAAATTCTAATTTAGATTCATGAAAATTAGGTGTAATAATCAATGGGTATTCAAAATTCATGGACAAAAGTGATTAAAAGTCACTTATCTCTTCAATTTAGGTGGAAACCTCTCCAAAAATTGCCCTAGTCCGAACTTCAAAGTCCCAAAAATGAGAAAATCAACTAAACCCTTCGATTTTAACACACTGCCAGCGATCTCGCTTCTACGGGCTCAACTACCGCACCTGCGGTTCCGTTTTTACGGAAAAAGTCTCGCTTCTAAGAAAACAATTAAAATTCTGACCTGCCGCTTTTGCGGTCTAACTCGCGCTTCTCGCGTCCGCACCTGCGGAACTCACTCCTCACCCGCGTTGCAAGCCCAGACCACCCTTCTCCGTATCTGCGACCAAAATTCTGCTTCTGCGGACTCGCAGATGCGATCCTTCTTCGCACCTGCTACACTCCCATAGCCAGACCCAGCTTCGCTTTTTCCCCCCTCCAGCCACACCTGCGGCGTCGCACTTGCGGCCAAGCCCACCGCAAGTGCGATCACACCAGCAAATCCCAAAATTCTCAGCAATGCTCTAAGTCCAAATATCGATCTGTTAACCATCCGAAACCTACCCGAGGCCCTCGGGACCTCAATCAAACATACCAACAAGTACTAAATCACAACACGAATTTTGTCAAAGCCTCAAATAACCTCAACAACAATAAAATCACGAATCGCACATCGACTCAAGCCTAATGAACGAATGAACTTCCAACTTCTAAAACCAATGCCGAAATATATCAAAATCAACTTCGATTGACCTAAAATTTTGCACACAAGTCGTAAATAATACAACGAACCCATTCTAACTCTCGGAATAAAATCCGAACCTGATATAAACAAAGTCAACTTTTGGTCAAACTTCCCAACCTTCCAAACCTTCAACTTTCTAACTTTCGCCAATTCAAGCCAAAACGGCCTACGGACCTCCAAATCAATATCCGGATATACTCCTAGTCCAAAATCACCATACGAAGCTATCAAAACCATCAAATTGTCATTTCGGGGTTATTTATACAAAGGTCAACGTTTGGTCAACTCTTTCAACTTAAACTTTCAACCTTGGGACTAGGTGTCCCAATTTATTCCGAATCATCCCCAGAACCAAACCAACCACCCCGACAAGTAACATAACCACAAATGAACATAGAAGAAGAGATAAATGGGGAGAATTGGGCTACAATACCTAAAATGACCGGTTGGGTCGTCACATTCTCCCCATCTTAAACAAACGTTTGTCCTCGAACGAGTTTAGAATCATACTAGGAGTCTCAAATAAGTGTGGATAGCTACTCCATATCTCCCGCTCGGTCTTCCAAGTAGCCTCCTCAACTGGCTGGCCTCTCCACTGAACTTTCACTAAAGTTATATTCTTTGACCTCAACTTTCGAACCTGCCGATCCAAAATGGCCATCGGCTCCACATCATAAGTCAAATCTCCATCTAACTGAACCGTGCTGAAATCTAGAACATGAGGCGGTTCACCATGATTCTTCTGAAGCATAAAAACATGAAATACTGGGTGAACACCCGATAGATTAGGTGGCAATGCAAGTTTGTATGCCACCTCTCCAATCTTCTCAAGCACCTCAAAAGGACCAATATACCGAGGGCTCAACTTGCCCTTCTTCCCGAGCCTCTTCACACCCTTCATGGGCGAAACTCTGAGCAAAACCTTCTCACCCACCATATATGCAACATCACGAGCCTTCCTATCAGCATAACTCTTCTGCCTGGACTGTGCTGTACAAAGCCGATCGTGAGTCCACGTGATTTTCTCCAAGGCATTTCGAACCAGATCAGTACCCAACAACCTAGCCTCACCCTGCTCAAACTAACCAACTAGAGATCGACACCGCCTCCCATATAAGGCCTCATAAGGAGCCATCTGAATACTCGATTAGTAGCTGTTGTTGTAGGCAAACTCTGCAAGTGGTAAAAACTGGTCCCATGAACCCCCGAAATCCATAACACATGCACGTAGCATATCCTCCAAGATCTGAATGGTGCGCTCAGACTGTCCGTCCGTCTGGGGGTGAAATATTGTACTCAACTCAACTCGTATGCCCAACTCTCGTTATACTACTCTCCAAAACTGCAATGTGACCTGTGTGCCCCGATAAGAAATAATGGATACCGGTACGCCATGAAGACGAACAATTTCGTAGATATATATGTGAGCCACCCGCTCTGAAGAATAGGTGGTCACAACTGGTATGAAATACACGGACATAGTCTACTGGTCCACAATCACCCAAACTGCATCAAATTTCTTCAAAGTCCGTGGGAGCCCAATAACAAAATCCGTGGTAACACGCTCCCATTTACACTAAGGAATCTCAAGTCTCTAAAGCAAACTGCCCGGCCTCTGATGCTCTTACTTCACCTACTAACAGTTCAAGTACCCAGCCACATACTCTACTATATCTTTCTCCATTCCTCTCCACCAATAGTCTGCCTCAAATCCTGATACATCTTTGCGGCACCCAGATGAATGGAATACCGCGAACTGTGGGCCTCCTCAAGAATCAACTCACGTAACCCATCCACATTGGGCACACAAATCTGATCCTGCATCCGCAACACTCAGTCATGTCCCATAGAAACCTCCTTGGTATTCGTGCTGCATTATGTCCTTAAGGACAAGCAAATATGGGTCATTATACTGACGCTCTTTGATGCGCTCATATAAAGAAGACCGAGAAACTACGCAAACAAGAACCCCGTTAGGCTCCGAAATATCTAATCTCACGAACGGATTAGCCAAGGCCTGAACATTCAATGCTAGCAATCTCTCACGAAGTTGAATGTATGCAAGGCTACCCATACTCCCAGCCTTTCCGCTAAAGGCATCGGCCACTACATTGGCCTTCGCGGGATGATATAAAATGGTGATATGATAGTGTTTCAATAGCTCCAACCACCTCCGCTGCCTCAAACTTAGATCCTTCTACTTAAACAAGTGCTGAAGACTCCGATGATATGTAAATACCTTACAAAAACGCCGTAGAGATAATGCCTCCAAATATTCAATGCGTGGACAATGACTGCCAACTCTAGATCATGAACGGGGTAGTTCTTCTCATGAATCTTCAACTGGAGTAAAGCATAAGCAATCACTCTACCCTCCTGCATCAACATATTTCTAAATGTGTATGTCTTGTCAATACTTTAAATAGCTAAAATATTTCCCGACTTCCAAATAACTTCCTATGCATAAACTCTTGGCCTTACAATAATCTCAAATTAGTTTAGAAAAATAATTCAAGTGCGCTAGTTACTTTAGGCGCACTTTAAATAATTAATTATCATGGCTATGTGTACGGTCTAGTGACATAGCTGTGATACGTAACCCCAAATACAAGTGCGCATTTACGTGACTTGACCAATCAACTTTGAATAATAATAAATGTATTATTGATTGTGTACACATACGCGTGACATGATTCTTGGCACGCCAAACAAAAATGAGTACATGTACACGTGACTTATTTCAAGATAATTTCAATAAATCTAATCAAGCAATAAAACCGGACATAGGTAAAATATGAGAACCAATAAATCACAGTTTGTCTAAAATTAATCCAAGCCAAGTTATAGTCAATAAAGCGATTATACTAGAACTACGGGACTCGGAGAATGCCTTACACTTTCTCCCCGATCAATAGATTTTCTTACTCGGATTTTATTCTCGCAGACCAACATGAAAAGAGTCAAATGTTCGTTTGAATAGGGATTCAAATAAAAGGTGACTTGGAACACCCAAAAATCAATTTCAAGTGGCGACTATGAAAGTAAAATAATCTCTTCTCAAGTTTGTTAATTCAAATGGAAAAACTCTTTAACCCACAATCCATGACATACATATCTTTTTGGGTGTAAAAAGGGTGTGACCCCCCTTTTCTTTTTATCGCATTTCATTCTGCAAATTAGCACTTGACGCTTTCACCACCTTTCCTTCCTTGCATGCCCCTCATCTCTTCTTTTAGAGAAAAAACATTCGAAAGAAACAAACCTTAGCAAAAGACGAGATAATTTGGGGTTCTTTTAGTTTCTTTCCATTGTGCTATAAGCAGTTCATTCAAGTGCTTATGAATAACATTGTTGACCATATTCACCAGAAAGTTAATAGAAGGAAAAGGCAGAGGACATCATAAAGACAAGAGCGGACCTACTTTAGTTTTTCTCATAAAGAAAATTTTAGCCATTTAATCCATATTTAAAATACTTCCACTTCTTGATACTTTATAGCATTACAAAAGTTCAGTAGGAAGATGTAAATACTTCCAAAAAGAAACATACGGCAGGAAATAGAGCAGAGAAGAAAAGGCGAGCTTCTTGGTTATTCATTATCATATTACAAGTTACTGATGGATACTATCTTCTTGGTCTGCCAATGGCCACTTTTCACTAGGGAAAATCCAAGAAAATACTCCAAAGTCTCTATACGAACTTTAGAATATAGACATCGACTACTAATATTGAATATGAAACCACTAGTCCTCCTATATGTTCTTTTCTTCTTCGTAATTAGCTTGGAGCTCCATCAGATTTAAGAAACACAAATTGGCCGCAGGCAGCTCGAAAAGAATCCCTTGAAGCCTTTCTGCAAAGTGTTAGCTGGCATAAGAATTTAAAGAAAGAAGTTTTTTGTTTGCACATGAAAGTCTAAGGTATCCATACTAGTTAACGTTACATCATACATGTGCTAGTATAATTATCTTAACTATTCAAGTGAAGAAATTGAACAATTCTTCCTTTATAAAAAAAATATTTTATAGACTTATCACCTTTTCTTTTTCCTTTATAAACAAAGATTACCACTTTGAAGCAATATCGTTCTGAAAGCAATGTTGTGAATAAGGTAATCAATTTTTCCTTATAGGTCCAATAAATTGACACATCCCTCCAATTTAGGGACAAGAATAGAGAGAAAATTGGTGGCAGCGGCCATCAAATTAGGTCAAGGGGAATAAGAATGAGGACATATATACCCTTTTAGGCTTAGCGTAGAGCAAGGTTGGGGAAATCTTGTAGAGATCTTCATCTACAGCCTTGGGTGCCCTTTTAAGTGAAGGACGTGGAGATGGTGGAACAGTTACAGGACTTGCTGCTTCTTTCACATCATCATATTCACAATCGTCCCATGCATCCTTTCTTCCTTCTTTTCCAACTGCTTTTCTCTGCCAATTTGCCAATCAAAGTTCAGATTTAATTAATCAACCGTAGGCTGACCTCGAATCAGTTATGTTATTTCTCGGTTTCAATTTATACGATGGTGTATTACTAAACGTATAATTTTTTTTTAAAAAAGAAGAGAACTTTTCAAATTGTGGCCGTACACATGCATGTGGCCGGTGAGATTTGTGTGGCTTAAAAACATGAAAATTATGATAAAATGAAAAGCTTAAAATTAATTTATTTTTAATTATAAAAGGGTGTATTTCTTGTCGAGCGGGCTTATAAGTAAATAATACTACATCAATTGAAAGAGACGAAGTAACACTACTACTTTCCTTTGAACGATATATACACATTGAAAGAGAGAAATTAAAATGTGTACGTGTAATATTCAGAAAACATGCACGTGAAGTAGTAAAACAAAAACCATTGAATGCTTTCACATGTTATGTCTCGTATTCACCTTTCTACAGAAGGATGTACAGTACGTACTGGATATTAGTATCTAACAGTAGTTAATAATAATTACCTTACGACGAGGAACGACGATCATGGTAGGAGTGACAATATCGTTCTGGTAAAGATCGCCGGCGACGTACAAATCACGGTCTTCATAGTAGCTATATCGAAGTAAACCAGCTTGCCTAGCTGATTCAAAGCACTGTGTGAAAGGAATTGGGAATTCATTATCGTTACAGTCCCAGCAACCAAATGCTGGAACATGACTCCTCCTCATGAAGTAATAATTGCTCTCCTGTTCAAAATACCCACAAATCAGAATCATAAAATAGAATCTACCCATGATTAAATTTCCAACCAAAAAAGAAAAGCTTTCAAATGCCAATAACAGCTTACATCCATTTTGGGGGGAGTATCAGAATCTTGGAGATTGAAGAACTCTTGAGAGTTCAAAGTTACTTTCTATTTTTTTTGTTCTTAATTTGCTTGTACTCAACTGGAACTATATTAAAGTATGAATTTAAGGAATGTGGAAGGTCCTTTAAAGGGGCATGAAATGGGTTTGCTTTTTGTGATGAGTCATTGTTGATGTTGGGATTTTAAAGATTAGGTCAGTGGGGTATTGAGGATTCAAGGAGATACTGGTATGAAGTTGTAAGAAACAGTAATGGTCCAGATTAGAAACAGAGAAAGCAAAAAAAAAAAGCCCAGATATCTAAAAAGCTTTGAGAAGTAGACAAGAGGGACAGAGATGTAAGGACAGAGAGAAGAGGGGGAACTATAGCTGTATTCTTTATTACACTACTACTTCACCTTTGTTTGCCCTTTGCTAGGGACACTCTATATTCCAAGGTATGCCTATGGATATTATAAAAGTGGTTTCTCTTACTGAACACTCTGATTCTTCCTTCTCTAAGCAATGACCAAAAAGCAGTAAATGCCACACCCCTATATTAACTAAAAGCTCTAAAAGTTGAAGTAGACCTTTTTACCCCACACGCGTCACGGTGAATTTTTTGGTAGCTGGTGTTCCTTGGTAAAAATTGTATTGGTATCGAATGTTTATACTTTATACCAAATTATACTACTAATTTATTATGTTGAATAATTTTTTTAAAAGTATGAATATATATTAATTAATCATAATTAAATAAGAAAATTTTATCATATTATTCACTTATTACGTGACGGTACTGTGCACTTTTGCCCCTCTACTTGAACAAACTAAATTTTAAGTAAACAAAGATTTAAACGAAAGATGGGATTAATCAAATTGGAATTGGTAGAATTGTAGCTTATTGGTGTATTACACTCACACCAAGTGAGGCAAGGTTTCAATTTCACAAATATTATTACTTTACTGGTTTCTATTAATTCACTTTTTTTCTTATTTTGGGGGCCAACCCTTCTTAAAAAAAATAGAAAGAAAGAAAATGTTTGGAGTTGAACGTCAGTTCTCTGAATGAAGGCAACGAGTCAAAAGAGAACAAGCTAAGGTTTTGGCAGGTTTGAATTGTTGTGACAAGACTGAGTAGCAGTCACGGTCTAAGCTGTGATACTTGGACGGAGCTTTTAATAGATAAAATGTAGAAACACAGAATGTGAATCTAGGGATTGATTTGGTTCATGACCCCATGCTCTCAAATGAAAGGTCAATACTTGATACAAACTCTTCTTGTCATCTGCTTATCGTTTTAAATTTGCTATTTCTTGGATATATTTCTCATAAAGAAAGGGGAAAAGGATTTTGCTCTGGAAAAGACAGATGACCAGTAGCTTGAAATTAGAACGAATTTGATTTTTTTTGGAGAAAATGATGGCACGACGTAAGGGAGTAACACGGCCAATGGATTTCACTTGGGGTTTGTCAAAAATTCAGTAGTGTCGTTGATATCTGAGTTTGACTTAACGTGATGCCAACTGCCAAGATAGTCTCGGAAATCCCCTCTTACCATCGCATTACGGTCCTTTCTTTTTCCTCCTAATAAAATAAAATTTAAGGGTATAATTTAATAAATCTCTTCTAATTTGATTTTAAAATTATCATCTTTCATGATTTATGAAATTATGTTAATCTTTTTCGTTTTAACTTTTTTAACTTGTTCAAATATAATAAGATTGTAATTCAACTAATTGGCTCTTCTAGCATACTCTTTTTGTTTAATATTAAAAGCACCTCTAGATGCATGATCGATCAAGGCTAGCCTCTTAGTTAGGGTTCAAGTCGAGCAAGTCCGGGAACAAGCAAGTTTATGGATCACGTTCCAAATTATTAATATTAATACAAAGAACAAAGGCGGATCTAGAGCTTCTGTTGCGCGGAACTCAGTAGTTTTGACCCAAATTTTATGTTTTCTTAAAAAATTCTCATACAAATTATTAATTTAAAATACAATCACTTAAAAGTATTAGAATTTTGAACCCAAAAGCTATCGCGACCTAAATTTACGTGATCGACACCCGGTATACTACTAGACCTGAGCGAGCCAACTCATTTGATGCACTCCAACCATATGCATAAAACCAATAAGCGCAAAAGCCATTTGAAAATCAATAATATTTTCAAATCAAATCATAAAACAAATTTCATATCCAAAATCATACATGAAATATTTCATAATAATAAAGAAATTGAAACAAAATAAATGTTCTTTCATTGTATGTTATGTACACCCTATTATTACAACCCAACATACCTACCTAAGGAGCCTCTAACAAATACTAGAATTAAGCACTTGAGATAATTTTCAACTACAAGGAAGTAAGAACAATATGATAGCTACTACCAAATAGGAACCTCGAGAAAGAGAGTCATCCTAGCCCTATCCACATATCACATGATACACCTAATCCTGAAATATATAAGGTAAATGGAGCCCTAGAGGGAGCTCGAGAAAACTGAGTACACCATCACATTACTCAACAAGTGTCATAGACTCTCTCTAACTCAGGTTCGTGAGACAAGACTTTACAAAAATAATACAACTAATATTTAATATAAATAGATAAATAGTTATATCAATCATACTCTTTATCATTTAAAATGAGAAGTCAAGTTGTGTTATAAATATCTGAAATATTTATATTAATTCATAATTTTTAATAAAAATCATACAAAAACTATTTCAATGGAACTAAGTCATTGAAATTACTTTCGCCACCTTAGGCCTAAACATAATAATTTTTTTTTACCTTCTATCAGGAGTAATATATCGATATCGATAAAATAAATAATCATTAGGTGATCAACCTAGCAACAAGTATTTGATCTAATTTATCTAGGCGATTTTTCCTAGTGTTGTACCAGTCGTTTTAACCTCATTACCTTAAAAATGAACATTTGTCCTCACAATGGAGGACTTTATCCCAAAAATTTCGGCGTAACCTTGGAATGTGTCCCTACAACGGTACATGTAGTTGCATGATAACGAACTCAATATTCGACCAATCTCGATGGTCTCCACTAGTAACTCCTAAAATAATTGATATATTAAAAATAAATTCATATCTTAATAGCCTCAAAGGATCAACTTTTATAAAGTCATGATGTTCATAGTCAATCCAAATCATTTTTAACAAAATCAAATGAATAACCTTTTGTATATTAAGGCTTTTAGCAATTAACATCATTCTTTTAAAGATACAACAAGTCATATTCTATTTATCAAGTTTCAAAAAGAAATACTTTTGATGAAAATATATCTTTAACACTCAAACGTTTTATACTCTTATCAATGCCTAAGTTATAATAAAAATTATACAACATTTTTCAAAAGTATTATTTTGCCAACAAGTTTTAAAAATAGAATTTCATAAAATCATATAACACTTCATACACAACACAACCTAGAAATACATAGTGACATTATTCCCCACCTATCCCCGTAAGTATTGATGTACATTTACAAATAATCTTACATATTAACTTAAAATATACTTTTGGAGAAATCCCTCAAGAAGAGTAAGTTTTAATCCAATATACCTCACTTCACTTTACCAATATTAAGCTCCCATTTATCTTCCAATGTTCCAATATTGATTGAATTGATCAAAGATCACCGGTAAGTCGATATCTACAATTAGCTATCTTAACTACACCAAAATATATCCAAAAATATCTATTGAGTGTAGGGCTCACAAATTGGCTACAAGTCCTCAACCATCCCAAGTCATTGATAGGTTCACCCATGAGTATATTTAATTTTATTTTTACCATTTAATACTCATTTGCAATGATTAATGATACTCTGTTAATCACCTAACACCATCAAGTCCTTATTCATCATCTTCTTCAATAAAATCCTAGGTTCAAAAACATCAATTTTAAGAACTAGTGTTACTTCTCTATCCAAATGGTAATTCCTACTCCAATACTTTCAACAATTAGGTTATTAAATCTTGTGAAATCATTAGAAACTCAAAATAATTTTATTTATATCGACCCACTATTATTTGCCTTCTTTTTTATTCAAAATATAATTTTTAAGACTCACTTCTAGAGTTCATATAATACACCATTATAACTTCAAATAAAATTTACAAACTAGCTAACCCTACTCCAATATGTCATATATATGAGCTCAAATAAATATACTACCTCTTAGTGGAAGAATCCCACTTTTTCTCTTTTTAGTATTCTAGAATATTCAATCTGTTTCCTGTGAATTTGATCTATAATATTATTAGTGTTAATATTAAATAATATTATATAATTATTAACGCCCCATAAATACATACTTTGATGTGTAGTTATCATGAAAGAGTTTCTCCTTCTATATAGGATTTAATTCCAATGATAAATGCCATTTGTCTCTCTAACTTACCCATTTGAGCCCCTTATAGAACATTTGAAGCTTCGCGTAGCCCATTTGCGTAGGCTACACATGAAGGCTGGGTAGAGTAATCTTCCCTCTCTTCATTTGGCAGATGCTGGAATTGCCTACGCGCCTTGCGTAGGCATGGTGCATAGGCTACACACCAAAAGATGCATAGACTACACATGACTCGCGTAACTACATAGTTTTTCTACTACCTTCAGTACAAAGGTCATAATTTTTAATACAATTATTCAAATGATAAATATTTTAAAGCATTATAAACTAGACACGCAGATCTAATTTGATAGGCGATACACCCCCATGTGACGACCCGACCGATTATTTTGAGTTTTAGCATTTCGCTCAGTAGTTTGGGATCTTGAGTGGCTTCATATTGTATGTTATGACTTGCGTGGATGGTCAATTTCGTCTTTTGACTGATTCGAGATTGATTTGAAAGTATGATTTTTATTTTAGAAGCTTAAGTTGGAATGTTGAATGAGGTTTGACTTTTGTGAAAATGATCGCGGAACGATATTTTGATGACTCCGATAGGTTATGATTTTGGACTTGGGTGTATGTCCGGAATTGAATTCGGAGGTCCCTAGGTTGAGTTGGCTTGTTTTGCCGAAAGTTGACAATTTGAAGATTTAGAAATTTCTCAGGTTTGACCATGATTTGACTTTATAACTATCGGGTTTGGATTTTGGTTTTGGTACTTGAAATAGGTCCGTTTTGTTATTTGGAACTTGTTTCAAAAGTTTAGCGTCATTCCGAGTTGATTTGATAGGAATCGAACGCGTGGTTGTGTTTTTAGATATTCTTGAGTTTCAATGTGAATTTCATGTGTTATGAGTTCCGATTCGTGGTTTCGGATGTTATTTTGATATTTTAATCGTGCGAGCAAGTTCGTATGATATTTTTAGACTTGTGTTGATATTTGGTGTGAAGCCTCGAGGGCTCGGATGAGTTTCAGACGTGTTCCAGATTGCTTTGGCCATGTTTCATATTTGTCACGATCCCGATTTCCCTACACTTGCAAGTGTTCTATCACAACTCGAGTCAACATGTAAGAGTAGAGACAA